GGAAAGTTGCTTATCATATTGCTTTGCCGCCGTCACTTGCAAATTTGCATGATTTTTTTCATGTATCTCAGTTAAGGAAGTACATTGCTGATCCGTCTCATGAGATTCGGGTAGACGATATACAAGTACGAGAGAATTTGACTGTGGAAGCGGTACCTGCGAGAATTGAGGATCGGAAGTTGAAACAGTTGCGAGGCAAGGAGATCGCGTTGGTAAGAGTGGCTTGGGGAGGACCAACAGATGAAAATGTCACTTGGGAGCTGGAGAGTCAGATGAAGGACTCGTATCCCGAACTGTTTGTCTAAGGTATGTTTTCGAGGACGAAAACTCTTTTAGTTGGGGAGAGTTGTGACACCCCAAATAATCCGATTATTAAATAATTAGAATTTTTAATTATTAATTTAATTGGAAATTTAATTATTGGTATTTTTGGATTATTGGAATTAATTTAATTAATTAAAGGAAAGAAGTATTGGTGGTGTGAAGAGTGATTAGAGGGTGTAAGGGGTAAAATACTCTACTCTTACTAATTACTAATTTAATTATTTTATTGGAATAATAAAAGGAGTATTAAAAGGAAAAAGAAGAGAAAGAGAGTTATTTTGGAATATTCATCATACGTGCATTTGAGAAGAGGAAAAAGAAGGAGAAAACCGGAAGCGTCAGAATTCGAAGAACCCACAAGGTAAGGGGTGATTTCGATTAGTTAATTCGTATTATCGGTTTAGATATTCAATAGTATGGATCATAGTATGTTAGGGAATCCCGGTTTGGAATTCTAGGGTTCCGTAGAATTGTCCCTATTGCGTCGAATTATAGGTTGAAAACCATTAGGGTGTCAGATGATAAAAAGGAATGATGAAATAATGTTGTTTGATGTTATAATGGTGAAAAATGGATGTGTTTTGGTGTTTCTCATGTTGCAATTCGTATGGGTATGTTTGGAATTGGTTTAGAATGAATAAATGCTGTCAAAAGTGCAGAATTTGACTCTGCAGGTCGTGGGAACCGATTCCCAGTGGGGAGGAACCGGGTTCCACTGTGTGAATTTATAAAAACTGGCAAAAATGCACGTAGGAACCGGTTCCTGTATAGGTAGGAACCGGGTTCCTATACATTTTTCCAGAAACGTGATTTTTGAACTTCGCAGGAACCGGTTCCTGCATATGTAGGAACCGGGTTCTGCTGTAACTTTTGAAAAATATTAAACTTTGAAAACTCATAACTTTCAAACCGTAAGTCCGTTTTAAGTGCCGTTTTGGACGTTATTTCTTAAATTTAATGCTCTATTTTATAAAATAAAAAGATTTCCTAAAACCTGAAATTATTTTGAAAATGAGTCAAATCCCGGAATAAGTGATTATTGGCTAACGCACATGGGCGTGTATATAGCAGTGAACCTGTGATGGATGGATGTATTAGTATTGTGTGAATGAAAGGCATGTTTATGTTGCTAATGATGGTGTGCATGATCGTTGAGATATCATGTTTTTGGTTTTGGTTCAGTTATGATAAATTGATGTATTTCATAGACTGATTTGATGTTGCATGCTAGTGATGTGCGTGCATATGCATTGTTATGGTGAAGTTAATTTCCATTGTGTGGAATTTGACTTGTATTGCCGTTAATCGATACCCGGGTGATGATGGGTGGTTAGGCTGGATTTGTGTCTGGGTGTTTATGAATGAATCGATGGTTGCTGTATCCGGTTGATGATGGATCAGTGTTGGGTGACTTGGTCACGTGTTGGTACCACATGCATTGTGTCTGCATTTGTGTTTGCATGGAATTGTAACATGTTAGGATGTCTTCCAGTATTACAATTCTTTGGTTGATTATTGATTTGTGCATAATGACTTGTATGATTGGAACTGCGTGTTGAATCTGAATTTATGCTAAAATGAGTGAAATAATATGCTTGTGATATAATGTTGATTGAGAAGCTTATAATGCATGTTAATTATGAGAAATCTCACCCTTACTTTAACAATTTCAGATTAAAGTTAGCAGCTCAGGAGTTGGTGAGGATGACTCTAGAGCTATGTTACTTTAAGTCCGCGTGTCAGTGTCGTGCTCTGATAGGTTGTAACACCGGGGAACGTTTAGTTGAGGAATTAGTTTTTATTCAATTGTTTCTTTGAATTTCATTGAGAATAATTATGTTTTGGTTTATTCCGTTTTGGTTATGGTATTTTTCCGCTGTGTAAGACATGGTCTTAAGTTGATTGAATTATTTGAATAATGACCCTCAGTGTAGCATGACTACTGTTTTATTGGAAGTTTTATTTATTTCATAATTGTGGCATCCCTTGTTCCGTGTTAACTCTGATGGAATATGTCTTTAATCATTGATATAATTAATATTATTCGGGGTATTTTAGAAGGGGTGTTACAGCTTACACTCCGCAACAAAACAGAGTAGCTGAGAGGAAGAACAGAACAATGATGAACATGGTAAGAAGTATGATGGTTGATATTCCTAAGAGTTTTTGGCCTGAAGCTGCGAGTTGGGCGTTCTACGTGCTTAACAGAAGTCCAACTTCTTCTGTGAAGGACATGACACCTATGGAAGCTTGGAGTGGGATAAAGCCATCTGTAGATCATTTTAGGGTGTTTGGTTGTATATGACATGTACATATGCATGACGCCAAACACACTAAACTAGAGAATAAGAGCAGAAGTTGTGTACTGTTTGGGGTTAGTTCAGAATCAAAAGGCTACAGACTATTCGATCCCATAAGCAAGAAAGTCATTGTTAGTCGGGATGTTGTGTTTGAAGAAGAGAAAAAGTGGAGCTGGGATAAGAGCTATGACAGCTTGATAAGCCTTGATCTAGACTGGGGAGATGACATAAATGAAGGAGAAATTGAGACTCAAGATGTTACCAATGAAGATTTTGATGTTATTATAGAAACTGTCACTGAAAAAGATAAAGCAAGCATAGATGAAGAGGGAAGTGATAGAGAAAACACTATGGCAGCGGCTGCGTCATCTCCTGAAGCCTCAAATACAAGGGAAGGAGATTGTGTCAGAAGGACAGGTCGTATCAGAAGGAGACCAGTGTGGATGAGAGACTATAATGTCAATAATGAAGCTGAAATTACCGTCAATGATGAAGCTGAAACTGCTGAAGCAAGTCAAGATCACACTTCACATTTAGCCTTATTCATAGAATGTGATCCTATTAGCTATGAAGAAGCTGCTAAGAGCCAAGAATGGAGAAATGCTATGAATTCAGAAATTCAATCCATTGAGAAGAATGAAACATGGTTTCTCACTAATCTACCAGAGGGAGCCAAAAGATAGGAGTAAAATGGGTTTATAAGACTAAATTGAATCAATATGGAGAAGTTGAAAAGTACAAAGCTCGACTAGTTGCAAAAGGATATGCACAAGAACACGAAATTGATTATGAGGAAGTATATGCACCAGTCGCTCGGATGGATACTGTGAGGATGATTTTAGCATTGGCAGCTCAGAAAAGTTGGATAATCTATCAATTAGATGTAAAGTCAGCTTTCTTGCAAGGAGAACTCTCCGAAGAAGTGTACGTAGACCAGCCAAGAGGGTATGAAATCAAGGGTGCTGAAAGAAAAGTGTACAAGCTTCGTAAGGCCCTATATGGATTGAAGCAGGCACCACGTGCATGGTTCAGCAGGATAGATACTTACTTTCAGAAGATGGGATTTGTAAAGGATGTCAGCGAGCAAACACTCTTCACAAAATTCAACACACAAGGTAAATGCCTAATTATTAGCTTGTATGTTGATGATTTAATCTACACTGGTAATGATCAAACTATGATGAATGAGTTTAAAGAATCCATGATGAAAAAATTCGAAATGACTGATTTGGGAAGAATGAAATACTTCCTGGGAATTGAGGTGTTGCAGCTTGATAGTGGAATTTTCATGTGTCAAAGAAAGTATGTGAAAGAGTTACTAACAAAATTCAGAATGGAGGAAAGCAACTCTGTCTTAAATCCTATTGTCCCGGGGTTTAAGATTCACAAAGATGAAGAAGGTGTGAAGGTAAATATCACACTCTATAAGCAGCTTGTGGGAAGTATGATGTATGTGACAGCCACTCAGCCAGATGTAATGTATGTTGTTAGTCTGATTAGCATATACATGTCTATGCCAACTGAACTTCACTTTGCAACAGCCAAAAGAATTTTAAGGTATTTGCAAGGGACTATTGAATATGGGCTCTTTTACAGGAAAGAAGGAAACAAAGAGCTAGTAGGATTCACCGACAGTGATTACGCTGGATGTGTGGAGGATAGAAAAAGTACATCCGGGTATACCTTCATTCTTAGTGATGCAGCAGTGACATGGTCCTCCAAGAAACAACCAATTGTTACTCTAAGTACAACTGAAGCAGAATTTGTGGCGGCAACAGCTTGCTCTTGTCAGTTAATATGGATGAAAAGAGTGTTGGGCAAAATTGGCTATGAAGGAAGCAGCAACCCTGTTATTTTCTGTGATAACAACTCAACAATCAAGCTATCAAAAAATTCGGTGATGCACGGAAAAAGCAAACACATCGATGTAAGGTTCCACTTCCTACGTGAGCTGGTGAATGAAGGAGCTGTTCAGTTAAAGTTTTGTAGCACGCAGCAGCAGGTTGCAGATATATTTACTAAGCCACTCGACACAAGAATCTTCCAGGGACTTAGAAAGAAGCTAGGAATATGTGATGCACCAAAGTTAAACTGAATTGGACTGTTCAGTTTAGGAGGAGATGTTAAGATTAATATTTTGACTAAGTTTATTGTGTGATATTGTGTAAGCTTATTTATTGGCCTTTTCTTATTTAATTAATTAAATTTTCCAGCATTTGATTCTAACAAAAACTACATTCCACCATACATATTCTTCATCACAAGGGACCGTTTTTAGGATCTCAGTTTTGTATAGAAATAAAGTGCTAAAAATCATGGAATGCTAGTAGGGTAAAGTGGCATAGAAGTAAGTTGTATGTAGCCAAAAGACATAAATCAAAATGGAGGGACTGCCCTCAAGCTTATGTAGAACTTCTCCTGACTTTTCAATGTAGTTAGGACCTCCGAGGTTGTATGCTCCATACTTTTCAACTTGATTTGATCATTTGCGAGATGATGGAAAATTGATTTAACTTCTTTGTTGAAAATCGTGATCTTATCCTTCTCTTGATCTTGAATCTCAGCCATTTTAACTCTGTCACCTTGTAGTTTTTCAAGTTTGGATTTAAGATCGGCAATTTGAGCATCAAGAGAGTCAAGTTGTGTTTGTTGGTTTGAGAAGGAAGTCTTTGAGTTTAATATTTTTTGTCTTGCCTCCTTCAATGCTTCCTTATATTTGTCATTGCTCTTCTTAGCCGAGTCTAGCTCTTTTGTTAAATTCTCATGTTTGTCATACATTCTCACAATGTCATTGAGAAGGTTAACGACAACACCAACTTGTTCTAATTGCCAAGATGAGAACATTTCCGCATTAGCGTCAATCCTTTCTTTGACTAAGTTAACATTTGGAGTGAAACCTTCTTTAAGTTTTTCAATTAAGTCTTCTTTAAAGGCAATGTCTCTCAATTCTTGAAGAAGTTGCTTAGGGAGTTCGGCATCCAGTTTCGAGACTTTTTGATCTTGGAAACAATGTTGAGAGTTTAATGAAATGGTAATCCCTTCCGATAAAACTTTGTCGATGACAGCAATGACATCCTCGTTTATCATATCATCAACTTCTTCCAAGTCTATGCTAACCAATTTTGAAGTGTCGGCTTTGGTGGAACTTTCATCATGAGTAGTCTCTGTGTTCACTTTTGACGGTTGAGTTTCAGTGTTTTTATCAACATCCATTTCTTCCGCTATAATGTTTATGTTTTGCTCCTCCAATGATTCTTCATCTTTGGTTTCTTGAGCTGAGGGACAAAAAGGAACCTGAAGAAGAAAAAGTTGCTCAGCTCAAGTTAAGTCTAGAAAAAGACATAAATGGGTAGCTTTCATTTGCATCACATCACATACTAAAACTAATTGCCTTTAATTACAAAACAAAAAGAAAATACCTGGCGATTGCGCATGTATTCCAAGTAGGAAGGCACGTCAGGATAGCGAAAATGTTTCTTGTTATCCATTTCAGAAGCATTCTGAAAGCATATAATATCACCATTTTCTAACTGCATTCATGGAAAACAAATCAATAAGAAACCCATGATGCAATAACTTACTTGTGCATCAATTTGGTATGTACTATACCTCACTTTCTTGAAATGTTAATTTCTTGTCAATAGCCTCACACATAACATTTGGTTCAAACATAATCTCCTGCACAACTATATGCATAATTAAATAGGTAATGCTACAAATTTAATTTTTTATGAAGTTGTACAACTGATAATAATAAATCTGACAACAAACCAACCTCGTAAAGTTCAATCTCTTCATCAGGATCATAACCCGCCCATTTATTTAACTTTGTTACGATTTCTGATGGCTTATCAGTACAACTCACAAAGAGCCTTCCAACATAACTGCCATAGGAGGGAAATGCATTTGATGTCAACTAAGGACCTCCATTTACCACAACATATGTTAAATCACACCAAAAAAAATATTCGGTACCGTAGCTCCTCTTTTTCAGGATCATATGACTTGAAAAAAAGCAATATATCATCCTTTCCTTTGTTGAGAGGTGCAATGGGACGTAAATCCTATATAATAAGGCAGTTCATCATCAGTGCTACATGAAAGGTGTTTTGTGCTATCAAAATATAGTATACAACTTCATAGTATAAATGTTACCAGTCCACGCTCCACTTCCAAAAACAGTTTTAATTCAGATTTGTGAACCTTGTTTACCACTTTCAATTGTCCAATCTGCAATTTGAATCATAATGAGAGAGAAAAATGAACAACTTCAAATCATAGAGAAATCGGTGTGGTGCATTACGAGGAAAAAACTTTTGGATCCAAAACAATCACTATAAAAACCAATTTCAAGTGTTAAATATATATCATCAAGTTTAAAGATGTAAAAAAAGGTATTCAAAACAAGCATTTGCCTAAAAGCAAACAATCCGAGATGAAAAAGTCATAAAATAAGAAGTTTGAAGGGGGTTTATGAGCAAAATAATATTGAAAAGCTTCAAGAGATATTATGAATTTACATGTCCTGCTTCTTCGATTTGCGTCAATGGCCGAAATGGACGACGAGTATCGTTATGACGCTTTGCCACCACCCAAAAGCGCTGGAATTGAGCTGGTATGCCAAACTCTTTAGCAACCTCTTCCTACATATCACATATTAGCAATCAAAGATACAAAAGTAATACATTTGTTGAAGAATCATCACTGACAAAGAGTCATGAAACCCACAAAGAGTCATGTTATGATGCAGATATATAAAAATCAATTTTTTTCTTCTTACAACGTAAGTGTAACCGATAATGATACCTTGAAAACATTAAACGATGTCTGCTTTTGAACGTGAAAACTCTTTACTTTGTCATAGTCTACTAGATCAAAACATATATCCTTTCCGATCTGTTCTGCAAGGTCTTCATCTCGTGCCACCTAAGAAGTCTTATTTGTTATCAGTATAAATAAAATACAATCTGATTGAGAAATCAACACCATGTTTCTAAAGACACAGTAAACAAAACAAATTTCTAGGGAGGCAGGCTTAGAAAACCTTTATAATAGAGTAGAGGTGACTCTCTGCCTCTTCTTTACTTTTGTACTTTTTTCCACCATGTTTTTTCTTTAACCTCTTCTGCATAAACCCGTTGTACAAATCCAGTGCAAATATTTCAGAATAAACCAACAAAAAAGGTGCAATATAAACGAAGCTACGGGAAAATGAAGCTTGGTTTGATTTTGGCTAGAAATACTCATAAGGAACTTCTCATGAGAAAAACAAAAAATTATTGGTTTAAGCAGACTTCAAATTTGTGAAGAAAAAAATGACACAGTTTGGTCAAGAACAGTTATCGATTGCAATAGCTGAATATGCATTTCCATATATCTATCGTTAAATAAATTAGCCTAGCTTGATTTATTTTGCAGCCTATAAAGCACATAGGAATATCTACTTACCCTTAAATGCTCAGCAGTGTCTTTCTCATCCACCTTGCATGTTACTTCAACTACAAGAGTATCATTCACGAGATACCCTCCACCAGGATCATTCAATATATCGAGAGGTATGAAGGACGTGAAACCCCAATCACTTTCTTGTTCATTGAAATGGTGTTGCGTGTCTACACAGTGGAAACAAAGTCACGAATATAAAACAGCCATGCCCAAAAATTATGTTCATTTTCAGTTTTTCTCCCGCTTTCAGAGAAAGTGGCAGTGCAACTTAAATTTTTCAATGATAAAATTTTCGTTCAGTAAATGCAACAAACATCTTCTGGTAGTTCATTCTGTAACAACTGTAAGGAACAAGCTGAATAGGATACCTTTTCTCTCAGTGTACTCATTATTGATTTGATTAACTACGATCAAGCTAAACTCTGCATAACTACTCCAACCACTAAGCAACTTAGCTGAATTTGCAATTTCCAAATACACGGACAAATGGTCCATCACATTGTTCCCTTTCGGGAAAATTAGTACGCGCCTGCTCAAAGAGAAAAAAACAAACATCAAAAGGGATCACTAAAGATAAATAACATCGGAACTAATATAATAAACAGCTACAACAAAATCACATCCTCCACTAGATAGATTCAGCTATGTGTGTCAAACGAAACCAAAATATTATATCTTATATCACCAACGACTGAAACAAAAGACAAACATCGTGAATAGATTTGATGAATGTGTAAGCAAAATACCATTTGTAACCCCCAACTTCAAATACATCTGAATAGAGCTTTATTGTATTTATCCAAGAAAATCCGTCAATTCTCCATGTGAATCGAAATGGTGAAGAATCCTTGTCAGGCTGACTATCAACAATGTTTGCAGTTTCAGGTTGAGCAGCAACTAATGTTCATCAATATAAATAAAAAGAGAAATTAACTATCATGCCTTGAATTAGGTGAAAACTTGGAGCCGTAAAACAGATAAGAGTTTTCAGAATACTAGTACTAAATTACTAATACTGATAATTACTAGTACTAAACAGAGAGACAATGTGTAAAATACTAGTACTAAATTACTAATACTGATAATTTGGTTATGCAATTTCGGAGAATTAATTTTGAAGTTTGTGAACTTGATTTCAAAACTCATGAACATATACAAAAATAAGCCTACATAATCATATTCTAAATCATTCATCCATGTTCACAAAGGCAATATTCATATCAGGGCCGTCTTTGAAAGTATGCAAAGCGACCTAGAGCACCAAGCCTCACATTTTTTTTTCATGATTAAGCTATGACAAAAAGGATTTCCATACACATATTCCACGATTCAACTGAAGATAACTCCAACTTCTTTTACCGGGTCTCTCAAAAGTTTGAGACAGCTCAGATTCATATCAATGATTCAAAATCTATGAAGCACGGACACTCTGAAAAAGACCTCGACCCTGACACGACGACACCGATAATTATTTGAAAAAATAAATGTAATCACAAGTGTCGGTGCAGATGTTCGACATTGTCACGGGCACATACACACCTTTTACATAGTTCAAAATGGACTAGCTAGTTGAAATATGTTGACATGGTTATCAAAATGGATCACATTGAGTACCTCTATATGTTCTCTTTCTTTTCATAGTTTTAGGAGTAGCAGCTGAAGGAAAAGTTTTAGTTTCATCTTTGCTGCTACCAGCTGCCATCAATCAATCCTGTGATCTAGTAAGCAATAAAACGACTTACTAATTAAGCACTTATACATGCATTTCAAAATAAGGAAAGTTAGGTTTGAAGAGAAGAAGTGTTACATTGACTAGTTTCAAAGATTAACATGGGAATTGATTTTGTCAAAAGTGAAGAAGAAGAAGAAGAAACCTTGTTCTGAAAGAGTTTTTGAAGAAACTGGTCAAACGCGTGCGATTTTGGGTTGAATGATAGTACTACATTTATGTTACATGGGAGAACTTGTGTTGCTAAAAATGTGAGTTTTTGTTTGGTTTTCAATTCATGTGAGTTCAGAATCAATTTTACATTTATGCTATACTTGTTGTTACTCGTTGCTACTTGTTACTTCATAACTTCTACTATTATATTTTTTTCTGCTTATTATTTTCTTTAATCAAGATTAATCGCTTCTAGATTTTAATTTCAAAATTTGCATAAATTATCGTGTATATTCATAACTTTTACTATTATATTTTTTTCCTTCTCCGTTTTCATTGTTCATTTTTATTTTTTTAAGTATAAAAAAAATTGAATCCCTTGTAAGTGTAACCATTAATAAAGTGTATTTTTTATTCTACCCTATGTTCAAAAGAAATATGTTATGTAATTTCTAAAATGTCTCTCGAAAATAAAAAATATTTTGATGTATATCTTTTTTTATTAAAGTTGATTTAAAATCAGAAGTATAATTGTAGTTGTAAATCGGTAATATATTTTTGATTTCAATGCTGCCAGTAGCAGGAAAAAAAAGGTAGGCAAGGAAATGTATTATTTTTCTCGTTGTTTCGCTTTACAGACAAAAATTTGTACAATACATACAACCAAGACAAATAGAACAAAACATCACAAAAAATATCGGTGGTCGATAAAAGGATAACCCAAAAATGTAATTCAAATACAATACCAAAAAACTAAAATCAAAATAAAGATGCATCAACAAATACTATTGGGTATGGCGGATGATGAGTCAGCCTGTCACCCTCAAGACGTCCCTCCGCTGTCTCCTGTAACACAAAGCCTCTTGAGCCTCTGCCATGATGGCATCCGTAACACCTCTAACATCATATCCATCAGGAAACAAACCTATATCAATACCATCTCGCGTAATATCCATGATACGACGACACTTAGACAACACGTCAGTGTCATGATCGGCCCTAGCTCGCTCCCCCTCTAGGATCTCCTGATGAACTGGTCTCGATGGGTTCTCTGGAGCATCTTGTACCATGTATGGATGAGACACCCAGAAGAACCATATCATGTAACCATACTCGTAGCTCCAGTCGCCAGGAACTACAATACTTCTGACCTCATCAGGAATAAGATGATTCTCGAAATCATCAAATAAAGCATCCATATCACTCCGTTTCACTGCCAGAGGAGTAGATACAACAAGATCACATGGAATGGTCTGGGTGTAACCGAACTAACGCATCACACGCTCAAGCATATAAGCAGCCCTCTATCCCACAAGTTAACCAACACGTAAATAACACAACCTCGTCAAATGGTATCGTCACTCAATGGTCGACGTATGAACAGAAGTGTATGTCCCCATGCATCAACCGGTCAATGTACACCCAGAACGACTCAACCGCCTGGTTACCTCAGAGCATTCGTATACGCAGATACACAACTTATCTTCAGCATAACCCGTAGCAAGTGACCAACCCGAGATGCGGGGGAAGTGTTGTAGGATCCATCCCTGAAATAACAAAATTAAATAGTTAGTTACAAAATCACAAAAGTTAACAAAAACCCACAAATACCAAGAAGTTATACCGTCAAGAGTGACATGCTGCCAATCATCTGCCTCATATTCCATTTAATTCCTTCATCCAACTTCATATACAAGTAAACCAGGAAAGCAACCCCCTAGTTCCACGGGTTGATCGTCTTAAAATCATCAAAGAACCGTAGGTACATGATATCAATGTAAATGACACTAATGTCCACAAAAATCTGTGTGCCAACAAGATACAATAAGTATTGCTCTCATGGAAAACTTTCGATGAATGGTAACCTGCTCGGGATCACCGTGAGCCTCTCATGCACAACTAATCTTATCCATGAACACCCTATCCAAATAACTATACCTGACGTGGCAACCACGTGTTTTATCAATATCAACCATGTCACTCTCAGAGGTAACTCTTAACTGCTCAACCAACATAACCAACACCTCATCTTTATCAATCATGTCGTGATCCAGGAATGTCCCTCTAATCTGAATATGAACTAGACACGCGATGTCGTCGAGTGTGATCGTCATCTCACCATGTGGTAGATGAAACGAAGACTTCTCATGGTGCCACCTTTCAACAAAAGCGTTAATCTACCCCAGTTGGCAATGTTGTATCCACACATGGCCAAATCTCTCAAAATTCTACTCAATAAAAGCTCATCAAACCATGGCTCAACGGGGGGTACAAGTCTACTAATCTTCTTCCCATGGTTAATGACCTTGAGTGTATCACGTTCTTGCATAATATTTTGACGAATTTAATCAACAAACCAAAATTCCAAATTCATAATAATTCATAATAAAAATGTAATAGAAATCATAATCCATACCTGACTGTCCCAGATATATCTAGCAACATGGTCATGGTAAAGAGGCAAAAGAGATAAATCATACGAACCTCCTTCAAAAGCCCGAGGCGTCGCAGGTGCAACCTGTGTTGGTGGTGTCGTAGGTGCAAACTCAAGTGCCGCAGATTCAGGATCAGGTGTTGCCCCATATGCCTGGGATGACTAAGGAGCCGCCTCAGGTGTCATCTGGGACTGAGGTTGTAATGGAGGTTGTGGTTGGGCCTCTAGTGTTGCTTGAGAACCCGACGTTTCTCCCACCTCAAATACACTCAATGTAGAAGTGCGTCTCGGGAGGACGGGGGCGGAGACGGATGAACTGAAGAATCCCGCCTGCTGCTGGAGGATGATGTAGTAGGAGTAGAAGCATGAACATCAAAGGCTGAAGCTGTATGAGATTCATCTGATACGGTCTGTCTAGTGACAGGAGGAGGCTGGGTTGTCTGACTCCTTTCTCTTTGCACAAAGGTATGTTGTGAAACCCTTACGAGCCTCAATCGAGATGGTCTCTCAGTCATCGCTCCTGTAGAAGTATGAAAAAATGTTAATTCAAGGACCGGTGTTCAAAAAAAGCTGAAAACAAATACAAACTAAAATCAGAAATGCACTTGCGGTTTTGTTCTTGCTAAAACCGGAAGTGCATTTCTGGTTCTTCTTATGATTTCAGAGGTCCGTTAATGGCGACCCAGACCATTAAATGAGATCACAAATACCTTATGATCATGAAAATGACATTAACAACACCTTTCTAATGATTCATAATATTGATAACAAACTAAAAAAAAACCTAATTTCTAACATAAATCACACATTTGAGTAGATTATACATAAACTCTAAAAAATTCAAAAATAACTTACTTGATTGATTGTGGTTGATTTTTTTAATTGATTGTGGTTAGATGCTTGATTTAAATGATGCTTGATGATTTGGTGAAAATGAGTTTGAGAGAGTTTTTGAGTGTTTTGTGTTTTTGTTTTGAAATGTTACTGTTATGAAAAGGGAAGAGGCATTGTGCCTTTTAGTGTGTCCAGAAATCGGAAATATATTTACGGTTGCAAACTGGAAATATACTTACTATTTGCATCCAACTCTTCTTACGCATTTCATGTATAATATAGTGTGTACTGGAAATATACTTCTGATTTTGAGATTCATTTAAGAAATTTCATGTGATACACTAGAAAAGTATGAGATGGAATAAGAAATCTCGTTAATAAAAGATACATGCGCACTATCAATATTATTTTTTATTTTAAAATTATTTATACTTGTAAAAGTTTAAAATAGTAAATAGAAAATCTTTCAAAATAATTCACTTTTCTTCTCCCAATTGATGCCACATGTCAAGTTCCTCGTTAATAATTCTTCAACCACTCACATTCTTTCTCTCATGTCTTCATTCTCTTCTCATTTTTTCTTCTTCTTATATGACTATCTATTACAGTTGAGCTTATATAATCATATGTATTTTATAATTAAGTAATTAATTTTAAATTTACATGTGTATTTAAATATATTGAGTATTACATTGAATAATACTCAATAGAGATGTAAATAACTAATTTTCTATCTCATGGATCATTATCAATATAATATATATTTTATTTTAATTAATAATTATCTTTATTTGTGAGGCAAAATCTTCAAATTGTCAATTTTTTTCTTTCTCCATTTCACAAGTCTTTTTTTTTTTAATTTATATTTGTATGATTAGTTAATACCAAGTGTAGCGGTAGAAATGTTTAAGACTAAGTCAGTGAATTGACTAGACTTATACAAATCAAAATAAAAATCGCCACCGTGCTTTATTATTTCCAAAGGAATGAGAAAAGAGCGAATAACCCAAAAGAGGGGGGAAAGATTCAAGGTAAGGGGGTTGGTTATGCAAAGGGAAGATATTAGCACCCTAAACATCAACGGTACTCCGCATGAACCTCTTTGTAAAAAATCTGTATATTTGGCTATAAAAATGTTGTATAGAAAATGGATGGTGGAGGTGAGAAAAGAAATATATTTTTATGGTTTTTGCACCCGCCGAGGTTGCGAATCTTTAGTGCCTACATACCACTTTTTCGTGCAATAGGGGATCAGGGTACACGTAGTTCCTCTTTTAAAATTTTTAAAACACAAGTGTGTTGGTTAATTTTATGAGATAAGACATCATCGTCATTGTTCATGTAAAAAACATACTTACTACCCACAATCATGAGAAAGGAGAATTTGCATCATCTCAAAGTGGAGGATATGGCTTGGATTTTAAAATCAGTAATGCCTCACTCAACACCCAAGTGGAAAATATCTCTCTTCACTATATATTATAGAAGTATAGTTGTTTGCATCACTACAAGGATTGACAAGAGTCCAATCTTTTTGAGAAAAGTTTAAAGA